CTCTTTTTACTCCAAAAAACATCAGTGGATCAGTTTTTTCAGCTTTCTGACCCACAAAATTAGAACTCTCCGGAAGGCACGAAGAAGAATACAAGAAATAAATAGCATAGTTTGTCCAATCGTTATCAACCAATGGTAACTTTCTTTTAAATGAACCTTTGGATTTGGCAGTCATCAGAATTAACCATTATTGAAAATCATGGTACAGCTCAAACAAAACAACAAGAGATAAAAATAAAAACACTGTCTTGTTTTACCAATGCACAGTTAAATAGCATTCTCAAGAAGAGAGACTCGTTTATCATGATTTAAAGCGTCTGTGGTTAAATCCTTATTATAGTTTAAAAATAACTTGTATTTTATAAAGTGTTTGTAGGTTAAGTTCTGATTACAATGTAAAAATGACTTGTTTAGTATTTCGTAAAGTGTTTGTGGGTTTAGTTCTGATTAAAGTGTAAAAATTACTTATTAAGTGCTTTTTAAAGTGTTTGTGAATTGAGTTATGATTAAAGTGTTAAAATTAGATGTTTTCTACTTTCTGAAGTGTTTGTGAATTGAGTTATAATTAAAGTGTTCAAATTAGTTGTTTTCTATTTTCTGAAGTGTTTGTGAGTTATGATTAAAGTGTTAAAATTACTTGTTTTCTATTTTCTGAAGTGTTTGTGAGTTATGATTAAAGTGTTAAAATTACTTGTTTTTTATTTTCTGAAGTGTTTGTGAGTTATGATTAAAGTGTTAAAATTACTTGTTTTCTATTTTCTGGAGTGTTTGTGAGCTATGAATAAAGTGTTAAAATTACTTGTTTTCTATTTTCTGAAGCGTTTGTGGATTGAGTTATAATTAAAGTGTTCAAATTACTTGTTTTTTATTTTCTGAAGTGTTTGTGAGTTATGATTAAAGTGTTAAAATTACTTGTTTTTTATTTTCTGAAGTGTTTGTGAGTTATGATTAAAGTGTTAAAATTACTTGTTTTTTATTTTCTGAAGTGTTTGTGAGTTATGAATAAAGTGTTAAAATTACTTGTTTTCTATTTTCTGAAGCGTTTGTGGATTGAGTTATAATTAAAGTGTTCAAATTAGTTGTTTTCTATTTTCTGAAGTGTTGGTGAGTTATGATTAAAGTGTTAAAATTACTTGTTTTCTATTTTCTGAAGCGTTTGTGGATTGAGTTATGGTTAAAATATAACTGAAGTAACTGAAAGTATTTTTATTTTTCTGCTAAATCCGACGACTAATTTGTTCTTTGTGTTAACTTATATGAGCAATCTCTGTGTGATTTGTACAAATTACATTACTTTAGACTTCCCCGCAATTACTTAAACAACCTTCAGTCTCTGAAGCGTAACTCACTCTCTCTCTCTAAAGTTGGTTCTTGTCTTCGACTTTTAGCGATCTCATTACACTTTACACCACGTCGTAAACTCATACAGATTTTAGCTAGATAAAATCCAGATAATTGACAAGCAACACGAATGTCCTCCGATCCAAAAATTATGTGTAAAATTTGTTTCTTTTCAGATCTTCTCTTCTTCCAATTAAATTATCTCTATTCATACGAATTATGTGGTTGTGTGCACATTTTAGTAAATTAGCCGTGAACAAGAAACAATAAGTAAAGAAAACGCCCTGTTTTTAAAGTCCATTCACAAGTTTATATCATTTTAAAATTAAGTTAATTCAGCTAATACTAAGATCTCGCAAAACCTTGATCCCCCGAAGAATACCCCAATATAAAACTTTTAAAACTATCAATGTAGATGATTATTTTGAACGAATCCTTATATGTTCAGGATGTAGTCCTGAGAGCTTCGCAAAACCCCTTTGATCCCTGTATGGAAGGCTAAAATTAAAAAATGTCCAAAATCTGAATTTAAGTTATTGTTTTGAAACTCTCCTTACAGCTCAATACCGTTTTCAAGTTACTCAAGTTATACAATCTGAGAGCCCCTAAAAAAACCTTGACCCTAAATTTTTGAGTGCTCCATCCAATAATCGATACATCCACACATTATTCCATGTTTAAAGGTAGAAAGTAAGAACCGCGTCAAAACACCGATAAATAAAACATTAGTCTCTACTATAAATAGAAGTTAATCGTTTCCATCCAATAATCGATACATCCACACATTATTCCATGTTTAAAGGTAGAAAGTAAGAACTGCGTCAAAACACCGATAAGTAAAACATCAGTCTTTACTATAAATAGAAGTTAATCGCTTCCATCCAATAATCGATACATCTACACATTATTCCATGTTTAAAGGTAGAAAGTAAGAACTGCGTCAAAACACCGATAAATAAAACATCAGTCTTTACTATAAATAGAAGTTAATCGTTTCCATCCAATAATCGATACATCCACACATTATTCCATGTTTAAAGGTAGAAAGTAAGAACTGCGTCAAAACACCGATAAATAAAACATCAGTCTTTACTATAAATAGAAGTTAATCGTTTCCATCCAATAATCG